TCTAATGATCTATAAGTTAAAATATTCAAGACACAAAAAATTATAAAATATTATTGAGAAAAGTGAAAGAAAGCCTAAATAAATGCCACAGTCTTAGATTGGAACATTCTATATTAGCCAGAGTCAATTCTTCCCAAATTGATCTCTAGATTTAATGCAATTCCAATCAGAAGCCCAGCAAATTTCTTTGCAGAAATTAAAATGCTGATTTTACAATTTATGTGGGAATGCAAGAAAGTCTCAAAATTTACGCACCAGTTATCAAGCCTTCTTATAAAACAAAGAGAATGAAGAGTATAAGATTGGTACAAGAAAAAATCAACCAATGGAACAGAATACAGGTCTTAGAACCAGACCCACACATACATGGTCACCTGATTTATGACAAAGATGCCACTGAAGTGTATGGAAAAAGGATAGTATTTTCAATAAATGATACTAGGCCAATTATGTATTTCTATTCTTACACAACTAGGCTATTTAATCTACTTCACTAGTTCACTTACGATCTCAAATATCTACTACTCTAGTTAGATCATTCTGCTGAGCTAAAAACTTTCATATCTCACTGCCTCTTGGGCATCTACTCCTGTCTCAAACAGGTCCAAACCTGAACTCATGCTCATTCCCCTTCCCTCACTTATTCCTGTGTTCTCTATCTCTGTGAATGGTTCAGAGGAACATGATCGAAAGAAAAATTCTGGAAAAATGTGTTTTTGCCCTTTGACAGTTATGTTCTCTCCTGAAACAATTACATTCTATCTGTAAAATAGGTCATAAATGGTGGACTTTGTCAAAAATTTAGCTTAAGCAATAATTCACTCTGGGATTGTTCCCAGGGACTCTACTAACATGGCTTCTGGGTGACCTAAAGAAATCTCTCAGTTTCAAAATCCATCTCTAATGCAGCATTGCCCTGTTCCCTTGATTCAAAGATGCGTTTCTTCACATCCTAAGGACAATGAAGTTAAAACATGTGAACTAAAAAAAGAAAAAGAGAAAGAATGCGAGACAAAAAAAAACTTTGTTTCTAAACAGAGGAGTAGGTTGTGATATTGCTTACACCAGGAGGAATTGAATTTTAAATTTGGGAATTAATTCTCGCTCTACGTGTCTTCCACAGACTGCACCATGATAGAATGCAGAAAAGTTATCATGTACACAGAAGACAGACCATCACCGCCAGCAATGCAAATGCCAAAACATATAGAGTAGAACATGGAATTTCAAAACTAGCAGGAGCAAGTGGGCTAATTCATGTACCAAATAGGGCTATCTTTCAGACACTGAAAACACTTCTGGCTGGCTTTCAAGAGATGCTGTTTGACTTTGACTTCTACTTATACGAAATTCAATTAAGAACACTAAAAGAGTGTCTTTAACCAAATAAGAAATGTAGATGAAAATAGTATTCCTGAAAGCCCTCAAAATTGCCCTATTAATCTGAAAGGTGCTATAAAAGTAAAGATCATGAGTACATGTTCTGAAAAGCAACATGCTACCACCATAAATATAGGTCAAAGGTATTCAGAGTAGCCTTTACGCTTCAAGCACGAAGACAGCTTAGTGTGTATGAATTGTGGGAGAACATGGTAAAGTCAATGGACAAATAGATAACACTCAGAATAACTAAAACACTTTCATATAAAATTTATTCTAGTCTTTTTTATCGTCCACACCCTTCCTCTAGAAAAGTTGCTAACAGGTGAATGATTGCTCAATAGATCAACAATAGAAAAGCCTGGTAAGTCAAAGAACCAGGGCCTGAATTCTAACTGACACATCTGCACCCCCAACAGAGCCATCTCATTGGACATCCACACAGAAACATCCTTGGGGTGTCTGCATCACAGCTAAGAGCCATCTCATTGGACATCCACACAGAAGCATCCTTGGGGTGTCTGCATCACAGCTAAGAGCCATCTCGTTGGACATATACACAGAAGCATCCTTGGGGTGTCTGCATCACAGCTAAGCAGATGGAGATGAGAGACATGCCCTCAGGGGATTGCTTACCTCTTTCTGGCACTTCACCTTTATCTTGGGACTGACCCCATGTCATCGGGGTGACTTTTGGGAAACAGCAGACAACAATGCAGGCCTAATCTGGACTTGGCAAAATTCATATGTGCCATGTTCAATTCTCTAAAAGGTAACATGCCTGCCCTGCATATCTGATGGCGTCAGTGGTTAAATCCTAGCGAGGGAAGAGGTGAGAAGACTCTTTCCAAACTCTAAGTGCTATGCAAATGCCAATTTTTACCAGTGTCATCATAAAAATATAATGATTTATAACACCAGATATTAACACTCCGTGCTACTCTGATTTAACAGTACACGTTGGGTTACTGATCCAACTCTGCTCTATTGGGGTGCTCCAGATCTTTTCAGGACTTAGATTCTATCTCAGGGCTTATTCTCAGGTTTTGAATAAAGTATCAAACGTTTCCCTGTTCTTGTTCAAAGCACCATCTATTCAGGTAGTCACTTTTTTGAACTTACCTGGTCCAGTGATTTCTTATCAGTGAGAGGAATATGTTTCTGCAGAATTCATAGCAATGGCCTATCTTCCAAGAATCTTTTCTGACTATGCCCTGGGTTAGGCTTCTTAGCTGTCTTTTATATCAAGAGGCCCAACACATAACTTCTGCCTTCGCTGAGGTATGACTCAGCATTGAAAAACCTGCCTTTTTGTATTTTTCTTTTTCAAGGAGGCCAACTATTTTTGCAAAACAAACATTTCTTAAATTAAGTTAATCCATCAGATACTACAAATTTCACTTACACACAGATTAGACAAATAAGTTTCTTCACAAGCCTGGAGGGTCATTTTTAGCCAGGACACCCCAAGACGGTACAGATGGGGAGATCAAACCTTCCCCAGAAGGAGTCCTGCAGTTAAATCTGGAGGCCTCTGGAAGAATATCAGGAGACAGCGGGAGGCCTGGGCTCCTGGCCCACTGATAAGAAAAGAAAATCTCCTGTTGGCCAACCTGGAGCCCTTCAAAAGCATGAAATTCTCCCCATCCTCCCCGTATTTCCCCTTCCCTATGCACAAAAGTTAAACACACCCAATCGCCAAATACTCCTATCCTAGAAGGCAGAGAAATTACAAGTCTGCTTTGACAGAGTCACCAAAGGTTGGGACTGTTTGGGATTTTGTTTTCCAGACTCACTGCTGGCCTCGAGAAAGTATGACACCACCATCTTAAGCACAAGGCAGCTGTTCATCTTTGGCTGGATGTCAATATAAACCTTACAAATGGTCTGCTAGCTCTATTTTTTAAATAATAATAATTTTGAAAAATCCCATAGTTACAGAAATCCCAATCTGGTGTTTTCACTATAAAGCCTTTCCTGCAGAACAGAGAAAACCATGTATTCCAAACAAATGTCTGAGCCAGAAATGTACTAGTAGGTTATTTCTACCAGATAAATACAGTGGACAGATAATTAGGCAGATTGAAAATCAATGGCTAAAGCAGGCCCAAGGAATCAACACTGAGTATCAATTCTCTCTGAAATATCAAAAGACAAAAATCTACCAGCGAATCATTTATTATTCCAAAAGAGGCCCTTAACGGTTAAGTCACTGATGATACTTTTATTTAGGGGTAAAAATCAGACATCAGAAAACCTTCCCTTCCTTCTGAAATGTTGGTCTGTTATAGATACCACAGTGGCTATATTTTATTTTTAACTATCCCTACTAAGAACTCACATACAACCATCAGTGCATATATTCAACACCATGACGTGTCCTCAAAGCCTGGCATGTGTCTCCTTCTTCTCTGTTTCCCTCATTACACACTGGAATATGCACAAGGGCCAAATGTTGGCAATGTGCTCAAAATAAGCCTTTTATGGGGCAAGTTAATGTTCATTATTATTTTAGTGTGCATATTTGTGGTAGAGCTTTACACACAAATCCGTAAGTCCAGGAGAAACCAAAGTCATTCCTAAACCTTTGGACATCCTTGGGAAGTCAACAGACTTGCAAGACCAAAAGCAAGAATCTTGACTTGGGAGTAGGAAACCAAAGCTGACAAATCCCTTGCAGAGTTTGTAGATGTGGGGTTCCCTCCCTCTCTGTACTCTCTTCCTTCAATTGTTATCTGCCTATTTCCCATATAATTGCCAGGCTGTCCCACCACGTGCTGTGTTTATACGTTAAGTGCACTAAGTATGCAGTGGTGCTAATCTCTGCATCAGGCCCACCATTCTCACCTGACTACTAAACTGACTGACCCCCAAATACTAAGCACGAGTCAAGGTCACTGGCTTGCTTTCTGTGTGCTACAGGATTGAACTAGCTGTTGCAATATTTCTTCCCTTGACCCTTCTAATCCTCCAGAAATCCCTCCATGGAAGTTCTTCATCACTGGTGGACAGCCCCAAGAGCATACTCTGTTGAAGTTCTTTTGTAAAAACAGTCTGGCCTCATTTCAAAAAACAAAAATATTACAGACATGGGTGGGGGCATAGTCTATGATTCCCTTGTATCCAAATGAAAAGAGATACATTCGAGACACACACACATACACACCACATAGATACACTGTATCACATATTTGTATATATTATATGCAAACACACAGCTTTCCACTAACTTGAATTAGTATCATTTGTAAGCACCCTTACATGACTTCCACGTATGAATTTATTTTCGCCGCCCTCACCCATTATTCAAAGCGGGCACTGAGCAACGGTGGGAAATGTTTTATCCCCAATAAGGTATATATTCTCTGATCACAAAGGATGCTTAGTTAATACTGTTCATTGGCTTGCTCAGGAACAGGAAACTATTTGGAAAATCTTCATTTTAGTAACAAAAAATTGTCTTGCTGGCTGAACACTACCATTCAGAACACATCCCTCATCGTGCTCACGTGCTGGCCCTGAGCTCCAAAGCACCTTGCACAGACACCCTCGGGGTTCATGACAGCAGGGTGAGAAACGGGGGCCAGCCCCACCCACTGGGATTCCCTGAGCTTTCATACCTGTGTGGACGCTCCTGCAAGACTTGATAAATGCTGATAAGAAAAGTTTGGTTTTTAAAACTCCCCACAACACAGTCCTTGTAGATTCGGAACTCTGCAGCCGTCACCGCCTCACCCTCAGGAATCTGGGATAAGTTGAACTTGAACTCTTTGTGGTGTCGCTGGCCAGGGGAGAACTCCTTCTCGTACTCCACTATAAGATTAAACAAGAGAGAGTGACAACTATTGTTACTTGACTAAGTGCCACAGGCTCACCTCAAGAAAGCTGCCCCGTTTTCATTCGTAAGTGGATTACCGGTTACCAATGGCTTAGGAGAGGGATGGGGGTGGGGGATGGCAAGCACCAACAGTGGCTGTGCTGTCAGACGGGCTGAGATTAAAATTGCTCATTTTACCCAAGGATTAAATAAAATTCTTAGGTTTTTATTTGGTTTGAATACCTTACGTCCTTGGTTGAAGTAAGTTGCATGAAAGCAAGTTACCTAAACTCTTGGCTTCAGTTTTCCTCACCTACAAAGGCAGGAATTAACAGGGCTTCCCAAGGAAGTTGTGAGGATGAAGAAAACGATGAATAAGAACGTCCCTAGCGATCCTGGCTCTGGCCACCCCTTCCCGGCCCCCCTTTCCTTCCTGCTGCCTGGCCCCCTCAGGTCTGGTCATCTCCCCCCATCAAGCAGTTGGCATGACCCAGGGTAGCCCTGAGGCGAGCTCTGGGAGGGGTCCTCAGGGTGGGAGGGGGGTGAGCAGCACGTTCGGCCTCAGCCTGAAAGATCCGAGGGGCTTCATATTTTGCCTGTTGTTCCGTAGAAAGTTTTGTGGAGGGGTTTGGGGTAAAGCTTCAGAAAAAATGCTGCTCTAACCCAGGTGCACTGCCCTCCCTTCTCCTGGAACAAAGGGAGGGCTGCTGGCCTCCGAGGCCAGGGCCCCTCCACTCAGTCTGCATGCAGAATCCAAGTGTAAGGCTAGACACGTGGAAGCGAATGACCAACAGTACACCTTGCTATTTTTTCTAATGCTTTTCTAAAAATTGGGAAAGAATGGAGTCTGAAATCTTTTTTTTTTTTAATGAAATCTTTCCCCTGCACCAAAACAAACTATGGAAAACTACAACCACTGATGATCATGTCTCAGAATCAGCTTCCAGTTGTCTATGTAAAGTCCTGTGTGAGACAAGTGGTATCAACCTGAGATGCTTAACTCATAAACGTTGCAAAAGAGAAAAAGGACTGCTCTGCTTCCCACCATAAATCCTTGACTCTTTTCTCCAGGGTTTGGAAACGTTTCTACCCTACTGTTCCTGCTAGTTTTTTTCTTAATGGCAACCGCAGTGAAATCTCATGAGCAAATTAATCCTTTATGGCAGAGTGTTCCCAGGGCTGTGGGTAGAGGGGAAAAAAAATCAAATTATTAGCCACCTCCAACTGCCCATTTTCTCCCACATATGTTGTTCTCCATAATCACCAGAGAAAAGCTTTGGAGATTTAGCTTCTTAAAAAAAAAAAAAGCCAATAACTCTTTATAAGAACCTAGGGCCTCAGTGGTATTTGCGGAAGCTAAGGAAAGCTAAGCCATCTATAGGTAGTTTAAAGAGTTTCTGAAACTGCCATGGGACTATGCTAAATCTTTTAGATTCAAGTTATCTCTTTTTGGCAGGAGGGTTGTAAAAACAATAAGCTTTGGCTTGTGTAAGAGCTTGATATAAGTAAAAAATATATATATATTAAAAAAAAATTTTAAAAATATCTAACCAGAAAGTAAACCATGGTTCAGTCCCAACAAGAGAACAGGTTTTCTAATTAGTGGCTAAGCATGAAAAGCAATCTTGTTGGTGAGTTCACCAAAGGACACCCATACATGAGGGTGTATCGCTTTTCCCTAAAACTGATCTGCCTTTTAAGTGTGATATGTTATCATCAGTGGTTAAAAAGTGAATCAAATCTGATTTCCCAAAGGAACTTTGTAAAAAACAACAACAACAAAAAACCAACAAAACACAACAACAAAAAAGTCACATAGCTTTTTTTATAGGGCCTTTTGGGTGCTTAAATTTTAAAAGCAATAAATAAAAATATATTGTTAAGATACACTTGAAAGAATACACAAGAATTCCTCAAAGAAGTCTTTCAATTGCTATTAATATAAACAACAACTAGAAAGAAGAAATCATAAATCATGGATGTGATACAAGATATAAGACAGTAACTTAAGACATTTTGGTCATAAGGAGTAAACAGAAATTTCAATAAATCAGAAATGTGGTAGCTAGTTTGGAGAAGTGCATCATACCCAATATGTGCAACATCCCCACACCTCCCTGTATTCATACCATTGGGTGGTCCCCCCCTCCCCTGGGGTGGGCTCTGTGACCTTCTCTGCCCCAATAAAATGCAGCAACAGTAGTGCTGAGTGACTTCCAAGCTTTGAACTTCCTTCCACTTAGGTTTCTTGGAATGCTTATCTGGGGGAACGATGGTTACCATGTAAGAAGTCCAACTACTCTGAACCTCCATGCTGTGAGGAAGCCCAAGCTAACCAGAAGTGAGGCCGTATGGTACATGAAGAGACAGACGGAGGGAGAGAGGGAAGAGCCCAGTCAGCCTCCAACCACTTCAGCTGAGGCACCACACCTGTTATAAAGATGCCATCTTAGATGCCCAACTCAGTGCAGATGCTGGGGGACTCCAACCCCAGCCAGCATCTGACTGCAACTGCAGGAGAGACCTTGCATAAGAATCACCCAGTTGAACGTCGTCATTTCCTAAGACTGTGGGAGATGACAGCCTGTCGTTTTAAGCCACTGTGACTTGGAGTGATTTGTTACACAGTAAGAGGCAACTGACACAAGAAGAAAAGGGAGGACAGGAAAGGATGAGAGAAAGAGAAGGGGAAGTCTGACCTTGCTAGGAAGGGGAGAAACCGCATACAATTCTTAAGGATTTTGAAATGCTGGGAGGCAGTATGTAGGACTGAGGAGGAGTCCTGGCAAATGCTCACAGACAAATGTGAAGAGATAAAGAATCTAAAAATGAGAAAATAGGAGCATAGTTCAAAGCCTTCACTTCACAATATGAATTAGAACACATTGCCTTATATGAGCATTTTCCTACTTCCGACATTATCTTGAAGCACTCTGAATTTTCTTTTGCCTTTCCTTTATCTCTGAAGAGATTCAGGAATCTGATTGCCCTCCACCTTGTTTTAAGCTCTCTCACTCAAAAACTTCACTCCACTGTCTTCTGAACCTCTCTTTATGCCTCTTGGCTGGAAACTATACCATCTTCTTCCCTTTTCCCACGATACCTCAGCCACCAGGCATTGGAGTTTGCCTGGAACTCCTTTCTCCCCTTGTCTTTTGCCTCCAACTGAATTTACATAATGTATTTGCTGATGTCTCACAGGGACACAAGAAAGAAATGCAGTTAGGTCACTGCCTACATGTGCACTTGAAGACCTTGGTGGTAAAACTGTAATGTTTCCACTGAACTTTGCATCCCCTGCCTTCAAGCTCTAGGATTCTGGACTATTTAACTACCAGACAATTCAAAATATGAGAGGTACTGAAAGGGACCAGGCTGAGTTCTGAATTCAGCACTCAGGACCTATTTTGCAGCCCTTAGCATTTTAGCTTTTCACGGGTGGTGCCACACGTGGTATCCAATTAAGTAATAGCTATGAGTGTTGATGAAGTGTCATACTGCCAAACTGGTTCTGAATTCTAGCTCCCCTTTTTCTGACTTATGTGATGCTGAGCAAGACATTAGCCAAAGTTTCAATTATCAGTTAAATGGCAATAATCAAATTTTTGAGGATTAAGTGGGATAATCTCTACAAAATAGTCAATGGTAGAGTATTTACTCAAATGTTAGTTGTGATCACCATCAGGTGATATTTGAGAATCTAGCTCTACAGACTTAGAGTATGTCTCCACTGAGCAATTCAGATTTATTTAGGAGTCTTTAGATAAGGCCAATCAATGGTTCCTCTAAATTATCTGTTTAAGTTGAAGAGATGCATTCTGTGTAAAAGGTAGTAAGTAAAATCACTACATTGAGTGTCACCAGCCTTGATGTTTGGCTAATGAATACAGTTCTGTGTTCTCTGAGGCAATAATTCCTAGAATTTTTCATTTCAAGGACCAGCGAAAATATTTTTCAATGGTAATGACCTTATACAAGGTCATCTACTTTTTCTGTTTGCCATTTGTAAAGACAATAAAACAGACAACAAACTGCATCCTTTTAACTCTATGATCATTTCTGAAGTTTCTCTTAACAACAAATAGAGAAGATATAATTGAAGAACATATACAATCCTTGAAATTGAATAAATTTAGCTTTATAAAACTCACTCTATTCTCTCTTTCTGTCTTAGACTATACCAGCTGAAATTTCAGACCAGCACTGGACCTTTGACCAACAAGTAAGAACCACAGCCCTAATGAATAAAAGTTACTAGTTGAGGATTAAAAATGTAAGTTATGTCATACTAAATATACAAAAGGTTATACATATGCAATTTATGGAGGTAATGAGGCATCATAATAAGGAACTAAGGAAACCAGCACCCAACTTAAAAACCAGAACATGACCAGAACATTGACCAAGACTATGGTGATATCCCCCACTCCTGCCCAAGAAGTATCAAGAATCATGAATAATGTCTAGCATTTTCTTGCCTTTTAAAAACTAACAGTTTTACTACATATGCACATATCACCAAATCAGAGTATTTTCCTTTTTTCCCCTTAAAGTCTTTCAGAGACACAGTGGAAATTTTATAGGCACACATGGCACATACAGGCACGGTCACAGCTAAGAACAAAGGCAGCCCAAGCTGATGGCCATACTGCCTGTCAGCTGGTGGGGACCTGCAGTGCCATGGGTGGGCATGGCTGCTCTGTAGGCAATGAGTGACTAGTAATTCTTCTTCACCTCTACTTCATATAAATCCATTACAAACACGGACACTTTCTCAATAAGCAGTGGTAAGGATGTGGAGAAAGTAGAACCCTTGTGCATTGATGGTGGGAACATGAAATGGTGCAGCTACTGTAGAAAACAGTTTGGCAATTCCTCAAACACAGAATCACCACATGATCCAGCAATCCCACTTTTAAGTATACATGGATATCTGAAACAACTGAAAACAGGGACTTGAACAGATACTTGTACACCCATATTCCTAGCAGCATTC